TAGCAGCTAATCTGGGTTGGAAAGTTCACCATCTAGATGTCAAGTCTGCTTTCCTTCATGGTGAGTTAGAAGAGGAGGTTTATGTCACTCAACTAGAAGGTTATGCTGTGAAAGGTAAAGAGCAGAATGTGTTCAAGTTGAGCAAGGCTCTTTATGGATTGAAACAAGCTCCTAGGGCTTGGAATGTCAAGTTGGACAAAAGCCTCAAGAAGCTTAGTTTCAGCAGATGTTTGAGTGAGCAGGCTATGTACATCAGAGGAGCAAGAACTGATGCAGTCATCTTGGGTGTTTATGTGGATGACTTGATAGTTACTGGAGGAAATCTAGCCAAGGTCAAGTTGTTCAAAAACTGAAATGATGACTCGAGTTTGAGATGATGATTTGGGTTTCTTGTCTTACTACTTGGGGATAGAGGTTGATCAGAGGGATGACTTTATCACTGTGAAGCAGTCATGTTATGCCAAGAAAGTGCTTGGGCAATTTGGTATGAAGGATTGCAACTCTACCAAAATACCCATGGAACAGGGAACAAACTTGATGCTGATAAAGGTGGAGTGCACTGTGGACTCAATCGAGTATAGAAAGATGATTGGTCTGTCTCGGATACTTGTTACACACAAGGCCGGATCTTTCATATTCGGTTGAGTTGCTAGTAGGTTCATGGAGAACCCCACGGTGATGCATGTCAAGACAGTCAAGCAGAGATCTTTGAGGTATCTCGCATGGAACTCTTGGAATTTGGGTGGTTTATGTCCAAGGTGGGAATGCAGGTGAGTTGGTGGGCTATACTGACAGTGACCATGGATCTGATGCTGTTCAGAGGAGAAGCACAGGTGGAATGGCTTTCTACCTCGAAGAAAATCTGATCACCTGGAACTCATTCAAGCAAAAGACAGTTTCCTTGTCATCATGTGAATCAGAGTTCAAGGCAGCCACTGCAGCAGCACAGCAGGCGTTGTGGCTGAGAAACTTGTTTAGTGAAGTACTCAAGCAGAAGCCAGCAGCAGTGACACTCTTTGTTGATAACAACTCAGCTATTGCACTCATGAAAAATGCAGTGTTTCATGGAAGAAGCAAGCATATAGAGATCAAATATCATTTTATAAGAGAGTGCATAGAGAGAGGTGAGATCATTGTGAAGAGAGTGAGCACAAATGAGCAGAAGGTTGATGCTCTGACCAAAGCACTGCCAATGGCTAAGTTGATAGTGATGAGACACTTGCTTGGGGTGAGAGACCTCGGTGCTTGTCAGGCTTAGGGGGGAGCCTGTTGGTGTAAGCCTAATAAGATGTATCGCTGTTGATGCATTCAGAGGAGTTCAGAGCCAGGAGGTGAGCTGGGAGCGGGAAAGTTTCAGTTTGAAACTTGGACGCGCAGTGGGAGGAGCTGAGGCGGTGACCGAGTCCACGACTTGGCGGTTTTCTGAAGAATGTGTTTTTCAGCATTTCGTATCTTTATTTTAGCAGGTGTCTTTGTGTAAAATTGCTGAGTTAGCTCCATGTATTAGGAGTGGAGACATCAATGTGTGGGTATCACGTCTTGTAAGCCGGTTAGGCATATCGTGTTGTGAGAACTTGAAAGCGAAAAGGGGCGCTGTCCACTCTGTCGCCATGGTGGCGGTTGCCTGAACATTCTCTGTGTTCTTCGTGTTCTTGCGATTTGATTCTTGATCCATCCACACATACAGCGTTTGAACGTGTTCCTGGTGCTAACAGCGCGTCAGCGCGGAGTTTATCACGTCGCATGCGTCCTGGGACGCGGAGGCGGTGCCGGCCGTGAAGCCCCCGCCGATGTCCAGGACGCGCATGGGTGGCATGCCGCGCGCCGCGGCGGCGTCGAACACCGCGCGGGCCGCCTCCATGCCGCGTCGTAGACGCCCACGCGGGACACGGCGCTCCCGACGTGGAACGCGACGCCCGAGACCGCCAGGCCCGCGCTCTGCGCGGCGCGCAGTAGCGGCGCCACCTCCTCCCGCCGCGCGCCGTACTTGGTGCCCAGGTCCAGCAGCGCGTCTCCGGCGTTGGGGACCTTGAGCCGGAGCAGAAGCCTGCACCTGGGGTGGAAGCGCCTCAGCTTGTCCACCTCCTCCACCGAGTCGAAGGTGGTGAGGTCAACGCCGACGCTCGCGGCGTGCTGGATGTGCGACTCGGGCTTGCATGGGTTCGCGTAGACGACGCGGTCGGCGGCGACGCCTAGCGCGAGCACGGCGTCCATCTCGGCGGGGCTGGCGCAGTCGAAGCCCGCGCCGAGAGCGGCCAGGGCCCCGAGCAGCGCCGGGTTGGGGTTGCACTTGACGGCGTAGTACGGCGGCACACCCTTGAGCCCACGCCGCCACGCCGCGAACAGCTCGACCACCTTGCTGAGGTTTAGCACGCTGAACGCGCTCGTCACCGGAGGATCTGCGGCCGTTACAATGCGGCGGATAAGACCAGTGACGGCGTCCTTCTCGTTAGTAGCGTCGTCGCACAGGAGGCGGAGCACCTCCTGGCCCTTAACGCCGGGCGCCTCGATCGAGCACAGCTCGCATGGCTGCTGCTTCAGCCATGGACTGCGTACTGAGGTGAGGTTTACGTGTGCGATGCTGCCATTGTACTCCTCCAGTCCTCCTATATAATGGAGACCTTGCCATGGACTCGTTTTCTCTCACCCTCTCGGCCTCTCTCCACACCGGCGGCCTCTCACAGATGGACAGCACAATTGGTCCGACCCAGTCCAGCGCTCTGCATGCTGCTGCCCTGGCCGCACGTCGGCCAAGCCGATGCCTCCAATATGCAGCTTCTTTTTTCCACGGCTGACGGCTGCAACCTAGGACTAGGAGTATGTATCTCTCTCCTTGTTCTGAGAATTCGGATCAGAAACGTCGCTAGGTCACCAGTCACCACCCTGCATACTATGCTAGTATGGTCCACGTACGGGTACAGCAGCCCTTATCCCCTCACGACTCCACACCTTGTAGTCGACAGCACGCCAACGCGTGGCCCACGGCCTACGGCCCACGAGCACAGCAGCACCTGCATACCCTGGCCACATGGACCCCCGTCAGCACGCGCACGCGGGAGAGCCGTCTGTTGGGCCTGATGGTCAGCCGCAGCAGGCCGAGTGGGTTTTTCCTCTAGTGAAAAAAAAAGAGAGAGAATGGGCTCGCTCAAATTCCTCCAAAGACGAGGACAACTTTGCTTCTAGCGGGGAGGGAATGATGTGACTGTTCCTGCTCCAATAATTATTGCTAGCGTCGTTAATGCTCCAATAATCATTGCGAGTTGTAGCATCGTCTATGATGTGATCAAATCATAGACACATCAGCACAGACGCTTGACATGGCTGTTTATGACGAAGTTGAGGCCCGTCTGTGATGAGGGATTATGTCATAGTGAGTTTTTGGCAAGCCAAATATGCAGTTCTTGGTGATCCTCAAGTCGTTGCGACGGTGTCTAGAACCATAGCCAATACAATCCCCTGAATAAAACATGCACGGAAGTTTTTAGTTGTATTTTGTCAAAAAATAATGTCATTTCTTGAAGAAGCAAGTGCCCAAGAAGATGGAGAGGTGTAAAATGTGGATCTACATTGCATGGAACAACCGAACAATTTGGATTCTGAGGTGGAGCAATTGATTTACATATTACCCCTTCGTTCCAAATTATATTTTGGAAAAGGTTCTCAGCCCAAATCACTTGAGATGGAGAAGGTATAGGTCCAGTTCAGGCCCAGTGAAACACGCATAGCGCATCCAATCTAGTAGTAGACTGGGCTTTTATGTGGGTTAACCGGTTTAGGGATAAAAGTGTAACGGCCCGATGAAAGCCGAGATGTAAGAGCCCACTGACATCTATTCTCCTATTCAGCCCAATGAGCTCAAGTACAGTCGTCACTCTTCTGTATTTAGTTGTCTTCTCTTGTGGCAGGGTTCAAAATTTCGGCGAAATTTCGGCCGAATTTCACGAAATTCGGTAATTTCGGTGGTGGCCGAAAGAAAACTCCGAAAATTTTTAATACACTAATACATGTGCTATATAACTCTAATCTTATATTTTTCTATTGTTTATATTGCATATTCTTCTATTTAATAGATATGTAGTCATAAATCATACTAATATTTGTTTAGATCCAAAAAAAATTTAGAAAAAACATACTTCATGTGCTAATCTCTAAAAAAAATTCGGTGAAATTTCGGCCGAATTTCGCAAAATTCGGTAATTTCGGTGGTGGCTGAAATTTTGGCGATACCGAAATTAAAAACCTTGCTTGTGATTCTCAAAACAAGCCGTCTTCTCTTCTGATGTCATGGTTGTATCATAGCAGCCCTTGAGGCCCTGCATCTACCCGAGTGACCTGCAGTTAGTGGCATGCCCGGCCCACTGGACACTGCTACTGCTATGGTCAATGTCTGCACGTAAACGCAGCCTTGTTGTGTTTTTTCCCTGGTCCCACGGCGACGTTGACAGCAGTCTAGCCTGAAAAAATCAACAGCTCCAGCAATGTAAAGTGTCTGTACTCTGTTTCTAAAAAAACCACCACCGACCCCAGCAACAGCAACAAGTCGATTGTAAGGTAAAAATTGCATTACAACAATCACATAGTATAACCTCACCGACAGGAGACATGGATTAAATATATATATAATATATATGTGGTGTACATAGTAGTATATCCGTATTACAGTGGGCATGCATGATGCCATGAATCATGGACGCTTGCCCCTTTGGGGCGCCTCGCATCGCATCGCATGTGATGCATGCACGCGAGACCAAATGGAAAGCAGCAACAACGGGAAGAAACGAACGGCGACACACCACCTTGTTGGCGATACGCCAACGACCAACGCCTCAACCACCGGGCTCCGCGGGCGCCTCATCGCAAGCAGTGAGCCGCGGCGGTGGTAGGGCAGCCACACACCTTACCATAGCACTACCACTGTAGTACTGGCAAAGAAACAAAACACAAAGCAACAATAATCAAGCGACCGGCGGCACGCAGCAACAGCAACCGGGCTAGCTAAGCTAGCACTCGGGCGTGAGCGAGTGGTCCCTGCGGAAGTCGTTGCAGTAGTAGTAAACCATGTGCTCCCGCTGCGCCCACCGCATGGCCGCGTACTGCTGCGCCGTGAGCCCAGCCCCGGCAGGCGACGCCGGCACGGGCCTGCACGCCGGCGGCGCGTTCACGGAGCACCCGGCCACGACGAAGCGGTCGAGGCGCGCGACGAAGGGCTGGTAGCGGTAGTCGGCGCGGTGGCGGCCGTCGTCGGTGGCCCAGTCGGAGGCGTCCCAGATGGAGCCGTACACCCACATGGGGCGGTCGGGGAACGTGAGCTCGGCGCGGCGCTCGTAGCGGCGGACGGGGACGTCGTCCACGAAGAAGGTGATGGCGTCGGGGTTCCACAGGATGGCGTACGTGTGGTACGCCGCCGTGGGGTCGAACCACAGGTGGAACCGCATCTCCCGCCCCACGATGCGGCCGTCGCCGCTGCCGCGGACGTACACGTTCGTCTGCAGCGTGTAGGGCTCGCCCGGGATCGTGCCCAGGAACTCCATGTCGATCTCGTCGTGGAAACCAGGGTGCGCCTCGTTGTTGGACAGCTGCGAGATATGCATCATGTGTTAGCCCCAATGCCGCAATGCAAGTGAGAGGTCAGCTGCATGATTGCTTACGTAGAAGGCGGTGTTGGTGCCGGCGGTGTAGCCGGCGGGGAGCTTGATGCGAGTGGAGAAGTAGCCGTTCCAGTACGCGTGCTTCGACTTGAAACCACTCCCTGCACGCACGCATTATTGGCGAACACGATCAAATCAGTAGCCAGCAGTAGGTACCATGCATGATTATTGTTGTGATGAGTCGTTTACTGCTAGCGGAACTTATATTCCACTATCCAAAACGTAGAGATGTATTGGGAGCTAGTGGGAAACAGTTGAAAAAGACCAGTGCGCAGTGCTCTCTTATCACAATGCACGGGAGCAGTGATGTCTTTGTCAGCAGCGAGACCAACAAACAATGCAAGGTCCGAATACGTGAAAAACGGGCCACATCGATCACATGCGTGGGCAGTTGGGCTTGGGCACGGCCACAGCCACATCGGGACACTTGTAGCAAAACAAAAGCAAGAATTTTGCTTTCTTTCTTTTGTAGATATCGCCTACTCCGTATCAGAGTAATTCAGTGTATAATAATAAAATAATAATAACGTAACATACCGCAGGTCCTGTCGAGCCAGATGGTGAGCGAGGAATGGTCGCCGGAGAGCGTCTGGTGCTGCGGGCCCCACTTGTTGGTGTAGGCGCGGTTGAACGGCACCGGCCTGAACCTCGAGCTCGGGTAGTACCCCGGCGAAGGCTGCGCGTCGCCGGAGGACGCAGCCATCGCCGCCAGCAGCAGCAAGGCCGGCACCACAGCGGTGGCAGCGCGCCGTGAAATGCAGCAGCTGCTGCTGCTAGGACGACGACCAGGAGGAGTCGCCGCAGCCATTGCTAGCTAGCTTCAGCTTCGGGCCGGGGGGCTCTGATAGCTAGCTACCGGCCAGTGGCTGCTGATCGAGCTAGTGGAGGACACACACCTGGGCTGCTGAAGCTCCTGGAGAGTGTGTAGTCCACGAAAGTGTATATATAGGGAAGAGGAGCGAGAAGAGGTGGTACACAAAGTAGACTCTGTTTGTGTGTGTGACTGTGTTCCCGCTCAGAAGGCGGAGTTGGCAAGTGTGGTAGGAGGAGTAAATGAGGAACGCAACGTGACGCCACTGGGCGTTGATGGGAGTTTATTAATGTGAGGGGACGAAACAAGATCGGCCGGTGCGGTGCAAGCAGCGGTACTGGCGCGGCAGATCTCTGACCTCTCGCTCACACTCACCTGCCGCCTGCCGGTGCCGGTGCGGTGCCTGCCCCAGTGCCCCGCCTCGGCAAAGCGCCAAGCTGCAATGCCGCAGGCGCCTGTAGAGCACTACTACTCCTAGAGGCAAAGCTGGTCCCAGTAGCCCAGCCCTCGTGCAGCACAATCGCGCTAGCTAGTCTACTATAGTTGCTACAGCCTCCGTTCCTCCTCCAACCAACCGGTTGGTGACCGAGCGAGATGCGTGCCTGATCTTTGCTAAGGTCTTGTTTCGTTCTTCTTTCAAAGTTTACTCCCTATTTTGTTGAATGTTTGATATATGCATAGAGTATTAGATATAGACTAAAAAATGACTAATTGCACAGTTTGCGACTAATTTTCGAAACGAATCTTTTAAGCCTAATTAGTCCATGATTTGATAATATGGTGCTACAGTAACATATACGTTAATAATGGATTAATTAGGCTTAATAAATTCGTCTCACGTATTACTGACGGATTATATAATTTATTTTTTTATTAGTACTCGAACACTCCATACGATATCTCATGTAACAGTCGATATGACACTCACAAACTTTACATCCAAGATTTAAACCAGCCCTAAATCTGGCAACGGAAGCTTCCCGGATCGGCTGCACGGCCTTGCACGCAGCTGTCTCTGTACTTGTTCGAATTCCCAGATGTGGTGGTGAGCAGTTGAAGCAGTTACGACGTGTTCCATCGATCGATCTTTGCATTGGCCCAACGATCGTACTACTCCTACCGGAGGCGGCACGCGTGTGCTTGCAGTGAAACTGAAAACAGCAGGGTGACGACTGACGACCATGCATCCAGAAGAAGCCTAGAAAATGACGGCGCCGCGGCAGTAATTCTCTGTGTTTCGATCCGTTCCGTCATGAGATTGACAGTGTCGGCACCGCGATTGTTATTGAAATCGATCGCCGGCCGGGACCGTATATACCCTCTCATTCGGTGTGGGATGTCGCCGCAAAGCACATGCGCGCCATGTTAGTGCCGCCATCACCCTTTTCGTTTTATGCGGATGTTTACGTCCCTAATTCGGCAGCTCTCACTGTACGGGATTCCTTCGCCACCTTCATTAGCTAGCTTTTTCATTCAAACCACGCGTAATAATTCAATCCCAGAACCACAACAAAACGCCCGGCTTTGTTTTGATTTCACACGCTAGCTAGCTAGCTAGATTCGTAACAAGGACCTGCTGGTACTCTGAGGGTACATGGAACGTGTTTTAGTCGAAATAATGTTTTTCTCTCACAACAAATAAGTCGGAATAGTATTTTAGCTTATTTTTTCAGCGAAGCGGATGAGGCCTATAGAGAGTAGTACATATTTTTTACTATATTTTTTTTAAAAAAAACGAACGACCTATGAATTTGTACAGCGCTACAGCACAGATACCCCACACGTACGTACACTATGTTGCCGCATCATCCTATTCCTGTACCTACACTTGCTTGCTTATGCAGATTTTTTTTTAATTTTAACACTTTTTCGAAACTAATTTTAAATCTAACATTCTCGATTTTTTTTTAAAAAACTAACACTTTTGGCCGCGCCTATTTTTCCGGCGTGGCCAAATGCCTGTGCCGCGCCATGCATGGTGGCGCGGCAGGGAGCTGACATGGCGGCGACCAGAAGCGCTGACCGCTGACGGGGCAGGGCTCTACCGCGCCACCGATCTTGGCGCGGCAGTGCCGCGCCCTGATCCATGGCGCGGCAGAGCCGGGTATATCCTCCGCCGCGGCCCGCGTGGCCGAGCAGTCGCCGTTCTCCGAGCAGCGCAGCAAGGCAGCCTGCCCGCCGCGCCCGCCTTCGCCCGCGCCTACCAGCCTGCCCGCCGCGGCCACGTCCGCCCACGCCTGCCAGCACGGCCAAGCCCGCAAGCCAGCTGCGTCAGCCAAGTAGCCAGGCCGCCGGGTGCGCGCCGATGCGCCTCCCCCTCCGGTCACGCACGGCGGCTGCCCTGCGCCCATGCCTCTCGGCCCGGTCTTGCACGCTGCAACGAGGTACTCCACTAATATAGTTAGCACAGTTAATAAAGTTAGTAAAATTATTAAAGTATAGTTAGTAAAGTTAGTTAGTTTAGTTAGTATACGAAATATAATAAGTTAGTATAGGTAGTTTAGTTAGTACAACTATAGTATGCCTTGTATAAATGTTAATATTTGATTAGTTAGTATAGTTATAGTTAGAAAATATATTAATGTTAATATGAACATTACGTACGATGATTTCGACGACTTAATGAAGTTTCTTGAAATGCTTTTGCAGATGGATTGTTGTGTTAGAGTTTTGTACGGAGGAAGTGTTAGGAGAGAGGATGATATGTTTGAGGATATGGAAGAAGAATTAGAATGGTTTGATGAACCTCCTAGCTTCAACGACCTTTGTGCCTGTTTGAATATAAAGTTTGGCGGTGATTTCACACTAAAGGGTAGGTTTGATACTGGGAAGACTAGGGCACACTATGTCATCATGCCCTTGCACGACCCTGCTCACTGGTCTCCCTACACTAGGGTTCTCCAAGGTTCTAATGTGCCCATGGCAGAGGTGGTGGTGGAGAATGGGTACAGGATACATGGTGTTTAGGACAGGCCATCCATTGATAGATTTGGAGGCAAAGAAAAAGAATTAGGGGTCGAAGGGGAAGCAACTCAGGATAACATGGATTTGGACGGTCAGTAGGTGCAGAAGCAGTTTCATTCAACTGCAGTAGGCTGTGTAAGCAGTGACTTCGATGTGAATGAGTTCGAACGGGAAGAGGAGGAGCAGGAGGAGGAGGACAGGATCGGTGATGTGGTTAGCAGTGATTCAGACGATTCTGATGATGACCAAGGAGGTACAGATGATATGCCAACAACGACTGATGCCATGGCAGTACCAGTACATACTATGCCATTACCAGTACCAACTGAACATGCATTCCAGTTTTGTCGGCCAGTCGTACTTGTTGATGGCACTTTCCTGACAGGAAAGTACAGGGGCACCTTGATGATGGCTGCTGATGTTGATCCTGAGGACCAGATAGTACCCGTCGCATTTGCTTTGGCAGAGGGAGAGAACAATGAATCATGGTCATGGTTCATGCGGCTTCTTCGTGTGCAAGTGCTTGGCCCAACTCGCACTATATGTTTGATCTCCGACCGTCACGCAGGGCTTCTTAATGCTACAGCTGAGCTTATAGATGGGTTCCCGCCTCTAGTACATAGATGGTTCATGAGACACTTTGCCGCTAATTTCTGGCAACGTCAGCGGAAGCAGGAGGTATGTGACAAGGTAAAGGCTCTATGTTGTGTACGTACAGAGCACCAGTTCAAGGAGACAAAGAGAGAACTAGATAAGATAGTAAATGCAGCGGGAAGGCCTAGTTAGAGGCGCAGATGGAACAGAAGGCTCAGTGAGTGTTAGCATATGACGAGGGGGGTTTCAGGTATGGCATCATGACCACTAACTCCTAGGAGTCCTTCAACCGTGTATTAATAAGGTGGCACAAGCCTGGGCGGCGAACGTTATGGTGGATGAAACTATCGAGTTGATCTTAAAAAGGTAGAGTGCAGTTGCAACGTCCCTCAGATCATGCATGGCCCTTACTCTCATATGATCATGGCCTGCAGGGTTCAGTGAGCGTTAGCTTATGACGAGGGGGGTTTCAGGTATGGCATCATGACCACTAACTCCTCAGAGTCCTTCAATCGTGTATTCACCAGAGTTCGATCATTGCCTGTGTTTGGAATTGTTGAGTTCTCATTTCATAAGTGCAACGAATATTTTGTGAAGAGGTGGGAGCTTGCGCAGAGGAATATAGCTGAGCAGGGGCATTTTGGAAAGGCCGGAGCTGAACATTTGAAGGAGGCCGAGGAATTGGCCAAGCAGCTCACCGCCGAGCCGTATGGACCCCGCCGCCATATCATTAGTGTACGGGGCAAGGGTGGCACAAGCCTAGGCGGCGAACGTTATGGTGGACGAAACTATCGAGTTGATCTTGAAAAGGTAGAGTGCAGTTGCAACGTCCCTCAGATCATGCATGCCCCTTGCTCTCATATGATCACGGTCTGCAGGGTTCGTGGGTACAACTATGAGGATCTGCCATATATGTCACCCATTTATCTCCGTTCGAACACCGTTAGTATTTGGGAGAAGAGCTTCGAGCCATACCTTGACCCAACACAGTGGTCACCTTATAATGGTTATGACTACGTGCCGCATCCGGATCTAATGAAGGTAGGGAAGGGTAGGAGGAAGAAGAAGCGATTGAAGGGGGACATTGATGCTATGAAAGGGTACGACGAAGACATGTATGGCGGGGGAGACTTCAACGCGACCCGTGGCAGGAATCTTTGCTCCGTTTGCAAACAATCTGGCCACAAGGTTAGCAGGCATAGAAGACACAAGGTGATTTCATATTGTGTTCGTATTGCATAACAAATAGTCCAAATTTTGCAATGCTACATAATGTTAATCTGAAAATTGTTAATTTGAATAGTCTAACCCTTTGTTTATCATTTTGTAACAGG